TGTTATTTATCATACTGTTGTATTAAAGTTCTTCTTATTTTAACCCGGGTTTGTGCCTCACTGCCAGCCTGACCGGCTGAGGGTGGGGGAGGGGCAACTGCATCGTGGTCTCTGGTCCCGGCAGGGCCTAAACGAACACAGATGCAAAAAGTATGTGATGTAGCAAGGCATGCTGGCATGCAGCACTGCCACGTTTCATCAGCTACCTGGTTTCTCCCACCAGGTAGAGCTGAGGGGCAATTCGCAGTCAGTCCCTGTGCTGTGCCTGGCACAACAACTCATGAGAACTGGAAGATGAAAACATGCAGGAGAGAGGTGGGAGCTGCTTGCAAGGAGTGGTCATGCCAGGGCTGCATTCTCTGTTCACCTACTGCAAGTTCCACTTGAGGAGCAGTCCGGTGTGTCTCAGGATTACATTTTTTTGCAACTGACCCAGTCACACTGCAAGTGTGTGGTGTAGAGTGCCCCTGCCCCCCCCAGCTCTTCCATATTGTCTCAGGTAGGAGAGATCTATTTAAATCCTTCTTCCTAGTGTTTCTTTTTGGCACCACGGAGGCATGGGTGCAGCAGAATGGTGAACTTCCCCTGTGTCTAATGCTCTCTTTTTCTCCCGACGAGGTAGATCCATTAGCTCTGCAGTGTTACATACTCAGTTTTGGGTGCTGAGCTGTGGGTGCCGATAATAGAAATGAGGCATCTAATTGCTTGGTTTAGAGAGACAATTTGGACACCTCACTGATGTTTTCAAGCATTTCTGGGCCTAATTGTAAAGAAGCCTGTTAACTTCAGTGGGCTTTGGATGATTTCCTATATACACAAAACTTGAAAAATTATGCTTTAAAAGAAATACCAAAGTTGAATTGGGAAATTTTAACAATTCTTTTAGTGTTTTAATTTAGTGGCTGTATGCTGACAATATAATTAGAGAGATGCTATGTTAATTAATGCCAGATGACATTAGTGGGATGGCAAAAGCATCCAGATTTCTAAAGAATAGTTCACAGTTGAACTGTTCCTCTCTCCCCACCCCATTTTTAGGAGAGAATTATATTCAAAATGTCAGACAGCTGAATTAAACCAAAAGTCAAACCATTTATAAATACCAGTAATGTGGTGTATCTTAGCACATTACTGTCAAGCCAAATCTAATGTTATTGCAGAAAAATACATTAACCATGTTTCATTAGTGCCTACATATAAAAAAGAAGGAAGGTTTGCAGGCCCTTGCACTATTCTTGTGTTTAAAGTGGGTAGTGGACAACCAAGTTACCACTGAAGCCAAAAAGCAAAACCTAGACTTGTGCTTTATATAGCTGAGCATTTGAAAGGTAATTTTTGGTTTAATCCACTTACTGCTCTAGATGGGACTTAAAAAGAAAAATTTTCTCTAGGTGGTCTTAGTAATGATAGGGCAGCATAACAAAGTTGGCAGAACTTCCTTAAAAGTCTTAATTTTCCTGGGAGGTGAAGAAGAAAAGGTGAAAACTGAAGGCTGGTACATCCCAAATGACAGGAATGTCTCAAATACAGCTGCTGGGTGATACATGGAATCTTAGACCAGAGCAAAATAACATGCCACATAAAACAAAACACACAGCCCATATAAACCCATACAGTCAGGTCCAATATCTTCAAAATTTTGTCATGTAAACACTTTGCATGTGCAGGCTGATCAGGTAGTGTCTGTCCTCATGCATAAGTGCCATAATGGTGGCCTAAAAGCATGAAACCACCATTAATGCCAGTATTGTGGCTTCTGGCTAAACCAGCTGAAGTATAACCATGTGCTTAGGTGATTATCTGACAACCTGCATTGCTACTGGCCATACTGGCCAGGGACCCTTGGCCTATCTATGTGTGACAGAAAAATTATATTTACTAATATTTGTAATTCACACAGGCAAACCTGAAGTTGCATAAAGCCACTTAACTTCCTGTAGTAACTCTACATTGGCTTTGCATCTGCTTTGCATAGTTCAATGCTGGGAAAAGCCACAAGAAAATTAACTCTTGTCTCAGCTTGTCTGACACTCTCTGTTAACAGGGAAAGCTTACTATTTATCTTGAAGCTGGAGCTGTATTTTACAGTTCCTGTACCCCATCTTGCAACTTGATGATGGGTGGTGAAAGCTCATATATTCTCAAAGTTAAAATGTCACTGAATTTATTGTATAATGTTTAGGATTGGGCAAATCTAAGTAGCATAAATATGTGGCTGATTGGTTTATACTTGGCCTAGTGCTTGATATGATAAGGGAAGCATCTTGTCAGAGTAAGGAGCTGTGTGACTGGTGATTTGCCCTCAAAGATCATATCCACAGAGGATCCAGAAGACTGGGCCTGGAATATTTTAATGCAAATGTGAAGAAGCTCTTGAATATGCTTTAACTTAGCTAAAGTATTTAGCTCTAGCACACTGAAGCGTTTTGGGATTTGAGGACGTGCATCTTCTTTGCCTGTGTTCAGAATTCTCTGTGCAAATTTCACTGAAGAAATAATCACTAAAATGAAGTCAGTAACTCACAGAACAGCAATTCCACAAAATCTAGGGGGTTTTGCATCGCTTGTGCTGACTTTTCACCAGCTTTTTTATCAATGGGCCGGCACAATATTTTTGATCAGCTCACTTATTTCAGCTTCTTTTCAAACCACTTCACACATAAGCCTGAGAAGATATTTCTAAACAAAATTTAATTAAAGCAAACAGCAATTTCATAATAGACATTTATAAACAAACCTGTGCACCAAAAAAAAGCACGCTTTGCATTCTGTTTTTTCCAGAATCCTAACAATTCTTTTTTCCTCCCAACGATATGCAAAATGATTGTTTGCACATTTCATTGAGATTGTATGGAGATACTACGATTCAAGGTGTTGTCAGGACCTGAATTTTTCACAGAGAAGTTTCTACCAAAGACAGATGCTCTCCAGATACTCTTCTGATCCTAGCTGTGACTATGTGGGTTTAAAGATGAAGAACAGCTTCTCCCCGTATTAAGCCCTGTAGATGAGAACAAACCATCAAAGCTGTTTGTGGAACACCAGCATTATTTGCAGAACTGGGCAAGTTTTTTCTGTTATGCAGGCATTTTCCCACCACATTAGGAAGAAACACAACACTCAATTTCCCTAGGGAGGGCAAAATACAAAAGTGAGATCTGGCTATCCTACAATTGCTGATCAGGGCGTTTACCTCAGTTACCGAACATCTGCATTAAAATCTTTTCTTTGCCTCTTTCACACACCGCAGATGGGAATGTGGGTTTCCCACATCCCAAGCTTGTGGTTTTACCACCAGACTACTTGTTCTTTGAAAGCAGGTCTGCCATTTGTTTTTTACATCTGCCCATGTGAGTTAGCCTACTTAGTAAGCAAACTGAATCACTCAGTTTTAACTCTAATTTGTTAGATGATTTAATGTCACACTGTCACATGGTTTTTTAAAAGTCTTTTTAATTGAGGCTGTTGGGAAACAATCTAACTAAACATTTAACACAAAAATGATCAGGTTACTAACACCTAAATCCCTGGGAGAGGAGAAATGGGGATCATAAAGAGTTTCCCAATTTCATTTTCTCCTCAGTTCATGACTCTTCCACTGTGTATGAGTATCCTTACAGAAGATCCCACTGGAGTCCACAGGACTTTTGTCACTGATTTCAGTGATAGAAAAGACTTGTTTCAAGAATACAAGAAAAGATCGTGTCATCTTTTGCAGTCTCTGCCTGAAGAGATTCCATTTTTAACACAACAGCTTAAAGATGTTTGTTTTCCACCTGAGTCTTAACACCTTAGCATCAGGGAGTAGCACTGAATAAAGAAGGGACTTTGGCTTATTTACTTGAATTAGAGGAACATACTTTCTAAATCAGATGGTATAGTCCCAGAGGGTTAATGCCTTCGATGGTCAGCTGGGTACAGGCCAAAAGTACCCTTAGATGGTACACTGTGAATGAAAGAAGCTGGAAGTTGTCACATGCAGTTGCAGAGAACAAAGCTCCAGCCTCTTAAATTAAAACTCTTGCACACCAGATGTGCAGGAGTGACATTTTTGTGTTTGACCTTCCAGTTTAAAGAGGGAAAGTAAAACTGGCCAAATTAATCCCTTGAGTGAGCCTGTCAATATCCCTGGAGTTACCCTCAGAATAAGCTTTGTTAGAAGTAAGGTTCGCTACCTTAGGCTGAGACCTGGTGATGTGTTTCAAAAATATTTTACTGCTTGGGATGTAACACAGGAGTATAAATGACATTACAGTGGATTAATCAGCCTTGCAATTACAGGGAATTATGGTTTTGTCCTTTCAATAAGAAAACAGGCTTCACTATGCAATTAACTTGCTTCCAAAAACACCCTGTTTATTAACTTTTATACAGGGCACCCCAGTAGCTCATAATAAAGCCTTGCATTGTATTTGGAAATGAGTGCGAGCCGGCCAACTTTACCGGGCGCCTAAGATTCGCAGCAGTTCCGCAAGGCCTCTGCTGACGTTTTCGTGATCGGCTACCGGTAAAAATGCTTTTTATGTTTCGCCAGGAGCCGTCTCACGCCCGCCCCGGCCGGGATGCGCCACGCTCCCCTCAGGACG